TGGCTAATTGGAGTTCTATATGCCTCACTTTTCTGTATGTCAAATCCTTTTCCCCTACTTGGGAAGTTTTCTGCCATTACTTCTGTGAATTTTTTTTTTTATGTCCTCAGCACTCTCTCTTGTTTGTTCATTGAGTCTGATCAGTCTTATGTTATTCCTTGTATTGTCTAACAGCTGCTGGATTGATTTCTTGTGGTCCCTTACTATTTTTAAGAAAATTTTCTTTTCCTGGTCACTAATTGCAATCCTACCTTCTATATCTGAAATTCTGTCCTCGCACTGGCTCATTCTGCTGCCTCAACTTTCAGTGGAGTTTTTAATCTCTTGGAACTCTTTTATGGATTCCATTTGTTTCCTGTGTTTGGATTCCATGATGTTCCTTAGTGCCTCTCTTTTTTTATCTGTGTCTGCTCAAGATTTATTAGTCATGTCTTGCATTAAGGTCACAATCTCTGTTGTTATCTAAGAAATTATTTCTTATTTCCTTTTTTCCAGATCCTCTTTTGTTACTAGTTCAGGGAGTCCAGGTAGAATATCGGATTGTTCCATCTCATTGCCCTTTGGGGTTGCCTTAGGTGATGTGGAAGTCTGATTTTGAGACTTGTTTACGTGTCTTCTCATTTCAGTAGATGCAGCCTGCTGTGCCTTTGTTAAGGTAACTTTTGCTCAGGCAATATTCTTTAATTCTCAGCAAGTCACCAAACATGGCCTTTTTTCTGCTGCTCATCAGTGCACCAATTTCTGTGTTCAGAATGGTTGTATTCTTTGTCCCTGAGCTGATCCGTTGTCTGGGCAGTATTCTAGCTGGGTCCTGTGCATACTTGGGATGGTATCTAGTCGTGCCTCTGGCTAGGGCCTACCCCCCTCTATAGCTGTTGTCTGGGAGGGCCTTTTGTTGGAGACTGTGCACCCTATTCCCTGGTGTCTGAGCAGGCTTCTAGCTGGAGTCTCTGTACACTTACTGATGGTATTGGGGCAAGCCTCAGGCCTTTGCTTGTGCACCTATGCAGCCTTTTTCCAGACAGGCCCTTGGCTTGGGCCTGTGGGCCCAGGTGGCTGGGGTCAGGGCAGGTCCCTGGCTGGCCCTTCCTAAAGCCTCTCTGCTCTGATCCATACTGCTGCTCTCTGGGATCTGGATGCACTACTGATGGTATCCGGTGGGCCTCTGGCTGATGATTATGTGCCTGTGCAGCTCTTTTCCAGATGGGCCCTTGGCTTGGGCCCGTGTGCCCAAGAGGCTGGGGTTGGGTCTTGACCCTGGGTGGACCTGCCTGAAGCTGCAGCGCTCTGGTCCACACCGCTGCTCACCAGGGTGCCATAGTTTTATAGATTGATAATCTCTGCAGAAGCTTTCAAACTAAGTTGAGCATTTTTATTTTTTTGTTGAGATTCTGCTTTAAGTATATTGAATTTAATTTTGTAATTGGTCTAAGATTTTGAGTGTTTCATTTATGTGATTTCTACTTGATTTTATGATTTATCATTTCTCTGTGTTTCTTGTGTTTGCACTGCTTATTATCTTTGAACAATTATTTGTAAGACTGTCTCAGGCTGTGCATGTAATCCCAGCACTTTGAAAGGCTGAGGCAAAGGATGGAATAATTCAAGCAACTTAGCATCTTAGCAAGGCACTGTCACAAAGTCTAAAAGGGGGCGGGGCTGGAGACAGCTCACTGTGGGGGCTCTATATTCAATTTCCAGTACAACAGAAGGGGAAAAAATGATTTAGTAGTACAGGCTGAAGTTATCTACCTCCAGAGAGAATTTTCCTTTGCTTCTGCCAGGTACCCAGGAGTTCTACCGGTCTAGCACCATGATAGCTTAAGTTAACAACATGAGGATTTGTGGACCAGGCTGGTGAAGTGAAAATTGAGCTGCAAATCCATATGAGGCTAGTTTATTTTTCCCCTTTTCAACCTCAGTGTATATCCTGCAGGACTCAGCTTATTGAAGGAAAAGTTCTCAAGACTCCTTCCATGACAGACCCTAGTTTTGATATCTGTCCCCTTTTACTTGTTAGACCATCGAAACCAAAAATTCAGATTTTCCTGAATTAGCAGTACCATTATAGCAAAAGTAGTTCCTACTTTCCTTTTAGTTTTGTAGAGCATTAGATTTTTATATTGTGAGACATATTAAAAATAATATTTTTAGCCGGGCATGGTGGCACACGCCTGTAATCCTAGCACTTGGGAGGCTGAGGCAGGAGGATTGCTGTGAGTTTGAGACCAGCCTGGGCTACATAGTGAGTTCCAGGTCAGTCTCAACTACATATGAGACCCCGTCTCAAAAAACCAAAATAATAATAATAATAATAATAATAATATTTTCCCAGAATTTCTAAGGAATTTTTCTGTAGGAGGGTTGGTCTAATAATAACTATTTCTGAAAATAAGTTGCTTATATAATGTAGGAAAGAAGTTAAACTGTCATTATTTGCTGACGATATGATGCTCTACATTGAAGAACCAAAAAACTCCACCAAAAGACTTGTAGACTTAATTGACACTTTTAGCAGAGTAGCAGGATACAAGGTCAACACCCAAAAATCAATAGCCTTCTTGTATACAAATAACAGACTCACTGAGAGAGAAATTAGGGAAACAAATCCTTTCATAATAGCATCCAAAAAAATGAAGTATCTAGGAATCAATCTAATGAAAGAAGCAAAAGATCTCTACACTGAAAACTATAGCACTCTGAAAAAAGAGATTGAAGAGGATATAAAAAAATGGAAAGATATCCCCTGCTCCTGGGTAGGAAGAATCAACTTAGTGAAAATGGCCATACTACCAAAACTGCTATACAGATTTAATGCAATGCCAATTGAAATTCCAACACTATATTTCACACAACTAGAAAAACTAATCCAAAAATTCATTTGGAACCATAAGAGAACTAGAATAGAAAAAGCCATCCTAGGCAACAGAGACAAGGCAGCAGGTATAACAATTTCAGTTTGAAACTATACTATAAACCACTGTGGTAAAAACAGCTTGGTACTGGCAAAGAAACAGACTGAGGATCAGTGGAATAGATTGAAAGATACAAAAACAACTCCAGATGTACTCAGCTACCTCATCTTTGACAAAGGATCTGACCATCCTCACTGGAGGCAAGATAGTCTGTTTAATAAATGGTGCTGGAAAAACTGCATTTCAACCTGCCAAAGATTAAAACTAGGCCCTTATCTTTCTCTATGCACTAAACTAAAATCCAAGTAGATTAAAGATCTAAATATTAAAAAAGTCACTAAATTTGCTGGAAGATAAATTAGGCAGAACTCTGGAAGACATTGGCATAGGAAAAGACATTATGAACAAATCCTCAGTAGCATGGGGACTAGCAGAAAGAATCAACAAGTGGGATCTCATCTTATTAAAAAGCTCTGCACTGCAAAAGAAACCATCAACAGAACTAAGAGACAACCTACAATGTGGGAAAAACTTTTTACCAGCTGCTCCTCAGACAAAGGACTATTATCTAGAATATATAAAGAACTCAAAACAAATATAAAGACCCAATTCAAAAATGGGCATCTGAAATGAACAGACATTTCTCAGACAAAGAAATAAAAGCAGCAAGTAAATATATGAAAAAGTGTTCCACATCACTGGTCATTCGAGAGATGCAGATGAAAATAACACTGAGATTTCACCTCACCTCACAAAGAATGGCTGCTATCAAATCATACAATAACAAATGTTGGCGCAGTTGTGGGGAGAAAGGAACCCTTCTCCATTGTTGGTGGGAGTGCAGACTGGTGCAACCACTATGGAAATCAATATGGAGATCCCTCAAAGAGCAGGGACTGGAGGTTCCATTTGACCCAGCCATCCCTCTGCTGGGTATCTTTCCAAAAGATTAAAAGAATCATACCACAGTGATATATGCACACCCATGTTTATAGCGGCACAGTTTGTGATAGCTAAAATTTGGAAACAGCCCATTTGCCCATCTGTTGAAGACTGGTTAAAGAAGATGTGGTTTTTCTATAAAATGGAATACTACTCAGCCATAAAGAATGAGAAATTAGAGTCATTCATAGGAAAATGGACACATATTGAAGATATACTCCTAAGTGAAATAAGTCACACGTATAAATACCAAATAGTTTCTCTGGTGTGAAAAACTATATCGGTACATAAGATACTAATGATATAACTGACAATGTGAAATATGAAGAAAAGGGCTAAAGGTGTAGGGGAAGTGGGTAGGGTAGGCGAAAGGTAATAAGGGAAAAAAAGTATAAGAAAATGAGAAAAGGGAAATAAAGTATTTGTAAACAGGGAAGGGAGGAGGGGTTGAAGGGAGGGCAGGGACAAGGAGAAATAATGAGAACCAAGACCTGTCAGGTAAAGGTACAAGATCCCAATGAAGAATGTAACTGTACTGTATACCTAAAATGTACCAGTAAACTTGAAGAGAGAAAAAAAAGTTGCTTATCAAAAATTATTTAAAATTTTTCCACAATCACATTTTTATCATTTTTTCTTTATTCTGACTTTTTGCACCCCTGAAGCATAAATACCTTGAAAGTTATTTTGGTTGTTTTATAATTTCATTTTTCCACTTGAAGTTGTAGTTTATGAAGAACTCATTTTTGTGTATGGTCACTGTAATTCATTTTTTTTATTTATTTATTTATAAAATTATTTAAAATTTTTCCACAATCACATTTTTATCATTTTTTCTTTATTCTGACTTTTTGCACCCCTGAAGCATAAATACCTTGAAAGTTATTTTGGTTGTTTTATAATTTCATTTTTCCACTTGAAGTTGTAGTTTATGAAGAACTCATTTTTGTGTATGGTCACTGTAATTCATTTTTTTTATTTATTTATTTATATATTTATTTATTTATTTATTTATTTATTTGGTACCGGGGGTTGAACTCGGGTCCTTGTGCTTGCAAGGCAAGCAGCAGATACACTAAGCTAAATCCTCGGCCCTGTAATTTACATTTTTAAATTCACTTTAATATCTTGATTTTTTTTCAGGAACACTGGACATCAAGAGCTATTTTGCAGTTCCAGAAGTTATGTGGTTTGAAGCCATTAGTGGGAGTAGTGGATGAATATATAGATGGAATCCTTAACATTTTTCTGTGTGATACATCTTCAAATGAAGACATTTATTTCCATCATGTCTTGAGAACAGAGGGCCATGCTATTGTATGTCGAGAAAATGTCCCTTCTAAGGTAGAGTAGTCTGGATGTATTTTGCAACATATTTTGTTGAATCTCAATAGTAAAGTTGTAAGAGAATTTAATACAGAAGGTTATTTGATTTATTCTTTTATCTTAGATCCATCCATTAGATTCCTGGATTCTTAATGAGGAGTACTATCTTAATTTTCCTGTATCATCCAAAAAACACATTTGGCTAATTGTCCTTTCAAATGTGAATATTTGGGGGAGTTTAAGGCAGGGTCTCACTATGTAGTTGAGACTGACTTGGAACTCACTATGTAGCTCAGGCTGGTCTCGAACTCACAGCAATCCTCCTGCCTCAGCCTCCTGAGTGCTGGGATTACAGGCAAATTTTTATTTTAAATAAATGATTGAATATTCTCTTATCCCAAAATATTTTGGGTCTAAGGTCATTCAGAGAACACTTTTATTTTACAATTGTTGATAGTGATGTTTATATCATGTGAGATTGATGTTAATTTTTGTAACTAAGTAGAAGTGTCAATATGGAGAAACTTGACTATTGAACTTTAGAAGAATGTACTTCCATGACATTTGAAAATTATGAAGTGCTTTGTCACCTTTCACTTCATTATATAATTAAACCCTTCCTTCTCTTTTTTTATTTTTTATTTTTAATCTTAGGGTTTCAGAGACTTAAACCCTTTAGCTTTATACACTGAATCCAGTGGCGGGCCGGTTGATGTCATGACAGAGCTGGGTTATCTTTCCCAGCACCACTATTTTAATGAAGACCGAAAGATAAGTCCACAGTCTAAAGAGACTGAATTACAAGCCCTGGTAAGAGGTTTTTGAAAATACTCTTATAATTTATGTTATTAATCTTAGTTATCCTCATTTTATAGATGAGGGAACTGAGGCTTTCAAAATTTAGGGAAGTTTGGAAATTTTACACAGCGATCTTAATGGTTACCTTGTCTCTTTATTTTCTGGTTTAAGCCTGGGTATTAGTTGTACTTCACCCTGGATGATTTCTGTCTGTACTAAATTTCCTTGGTTCCTTTTGGTGTAGTTGTGACTTCCCTTACAGTCCAAATGCTGATCTTTTTCCCCCGTACTAAGGTACTTCTTCAAGTCTTATTCCTTTCTTTCTCTATAAATATTTTGCCAACACCCTCTCAGTAATAAACAGTATTATTGTAATATTTTTATTATATATTTTTCTCACCTAAGTAATAATATTTGTTAAACTTATATTACATCACTGGCACTGTTCTAAGCACTTATATATTAGCTGGTTTAATCTTCATAACAGCTTTACCAAGTTGGTACATTATAGATAAAAGGACAGTAAAGTACCTAGTATGAATTTAATGTTGCTTGAACAAATACACATGTACCCTAAATCTGATAGTCCTCATCAGTGGAGGGCTAACAGTGGGTACTGGGCCAGGAGTATAGGATGTGTTTTAGAATCAAAATGTTTTGGGGTTTTTTGTTTGTTTTTGTTTTTGTTGATACAACAAGGGTTTTTATTTTCTTTGAATAAAATGTAAGTTTTTTTGTTTAACATATATAGTACATCTGACTTAAAGTTATAGAGACATGCTGAGTTTTTAAAGTAGATGTTTAAAAAGTTAAGGAAAGGCCATTTTGACTACTGACAGATTAACCTCTTATGCAAAATATGTATTTTTTCTTCTGTGTGTTCAAAACCATATAAATGTTTTTAATTTCTAGTTAATGTCAAATTAATTGAGTTTATTGTCTCATTGTGGGCCTGAATTTTTCTTAGTCACTGTTACTGAAATGGAAGACTATTTCCTCATCTTAAACATTTTTAAAATATACAAATTTGACATTTTTAGAATATTTTAACTGTTTTTCTTCAGATAATCGTAGTTCAGTCCTAGAAATAAGATTATTTTCTATACAGGAGAAAAAGATAAAAGTCTGCTATCCCACCATAATCTGTATTTTGAGGTAGCTAGACTTCCTTGTGCTACACACACACACCACCTACCATGTGATGCCTTGCCTATTCCTAATAGTCTTACTATTCTGACAGTTTGCGTTATCTCCTTCATTGCCTCCTCTAAGTACTTCCCATATATTGCTGTGATGATGGCTCTACTCAGACTGCGCTGTAATTACTTGACTATATGTTTTCTCACTTTATTTTTTTAGTTCCTTTAGAGCTGTGACCTGATGCATTCTTTAGATCCAAAGAGATGTCCTATAAACATTTGATAATATATGCTCAAAAATGTCTATTATCAGCCAAACAAAGTGGCACATGCCTATAATTCTAACATTTGGAAGGCTGATGCAGGAGTATCATTCAAGTTCAAGGCCAGGCTGAACTACATAGCAAGACCCTGTCTCAAAAAACAACAACAACAAAAAGTCTGTTAACTGAAAATGTCTAACGTAATTGGAAGGCCTAGAGTTATGGATAAAGTTAAAAAATAACGTAGCATTTGTATGAACTATAGTGAAAACTTCCCACCAAAATCTAAAGGCATGTAATTTTTGGAAACAGCATTATAACAAGATAAAATAATACTGATTTCATTATCTGCTAGCAATCTACTAATAATAATCTGTCTTTAAGTCACCTTAAATCTGTGTCAAAGGAACCATTAAAGGATTCTGAATTCAATTCTTTGAAAACTCAGAACTGTGAAGATGATCCAAAGTGGTCCATCACAGAGCCAAAGGATCTGGAGGAAGAAAGTGAGGTAGGAGAAAAAAGAAAGAAAAGAAAAAAAACAGGGTCAGAGAGGATCTCCTTCTTCAGCAGTCACCAGATCCAAAGTTGTAGCAACATAGCCTTGATCACAGAAAAGAAAAGGTGTTGTGTGACTTAAATGTGTGAGTTACTATCCCACAGCTTTGGGGCTATCTTCAAGAGTTATGAAGCAGTTAAGACACTAGTATTGAGAAACATTATTAGGTAAAACCCACCAGGAAAGGTATTTTCAATTATTTTGGAGCACATATTTCTGTTTTAATCAAATGTTTATGTACATAGAGCCTACAGTATGCCTAACCCCTCCTCATTATACAATATAATGATATTCATTGTTGGAAGTTTGTACCTTTACATGATCAATCTTGGTTCTTATTTTTCCCCATTCCCCTGCCCTCCCCTCAACCCCTCCTTCCCTTCTTATCTTGCAATTTATGTCTTTTTAATTAAATACCATACTTATATTTTATGATTTTTCAGTTTTAAGTATCTATAAACTTCCCACAGTGAAAGATGAAAATTAGTTCATCTTTTTATCTCACCACACACAAGCATAGCCTTTGTGTCCCCTCCCCAACTAATATATCACGCTTTCCATTAGACCACCATTATGACTATGTAAATGCTATGACGCCTTTTCCTTTCCTTCATAACTTTTAATATTACATTCTTTTAAAAGTTAGTATACATCAGAATTGAGTATCTATTGGTATACCTGTCAGTTTTAATACTTTTTGTGCAGTTTAGTATAACCAATACCACAATCAGGATGAAAACTAGCTCCATCATCTGAAATAACTCCCTTGTAGTTAGTACCTTCTTATACTTTGTCTCCCTACATTCCTGACCCCTAGCAACCATTGACTATTCTCTCACTCTACTTTTACATGTTCAGGGCTGTTACATAAGTGGAGTCATACAGTATATAACCTTTGAGTTTGGCATCTTTCGTTCAGCATAGTGCTGTTGAGACTCAGCCAAGTATTTGCATGTATCAGTTGTTCAAATCCAAACTTTTCACTGCTGGATGGTATTTTTGTATAGATTACTGCATTTTGTATATCTTTTCACCCACTGAAAAACATACAAGATGTTTATAGTTTGGAGTAATTATGAATAGAACTGTTAAAAGTATTTGTATACAGATTTTTGTGAACATAGCTTCATTCATATGGGAAAAATATGCAGGAGTAATTTTTCTGGGTCATGTGTTAAATGTTTGTCGATTGTTCTCCAGAAAAGCTGTTCCACTTCGCCTTTGCACCAGCAGTATCAGAGTTCAATTGCTACACATTTTTGTCAGCACTCGATATTGCCAGTAAGTTTTATTTTAGCCATTCTAATTGGTGTAGAGTAGTATCATAGCATGGCTTCAATTTTCATTTCTCTAATGACTAATAATGTTGAACATCTTTTCATGTGCTTTCTTGCTTTCCATACATACTTCTTAGTGTAACATCTGTTGGAGTCTTTTGCTCATTTTTTTTTTTCCTTTTTTGGTACCGGGGATTGAATTCAGGTCCTTGTGCTTGTGAAGCAGGTGGCAGAACCACTGAGCTAAATCCCTGGCCCTTTCACTCATTTTTTAATTGAGTCATTTGTTTTCTGTTTGTCAGATCTGTAATTTTCAAATATATTCCTCCACTTATAGCTGTTTTAAAATTTTTTCTTAACACAGTACTTCTTATAGCAAAAGTTTTTAATTTTGAGAAATTCCACTGTATCACTTTTTTTTTCTATTAAGTACTGTTTGTGATGTTGAGAAATCTCAAGTAAATTTTAGTACAAGGTGTGAGGCTTAAGATAGGGTTCATTTTGTTGCATGTGGATATCCAGTTCTTGCATTTATTGAAAAGATTATCCCATCTCCTTGAAATGCCTTTAAAACTTTTATCCCAAATCAGTTGTCCATATTTGTATGAGTCTGTTTCTAGAGTCTGTATTGTGTTCCATTGATCTATATGTCTTTCCCTTTAGCAGTACCGTGCTGTCATGATTACTGGCTTTATAATCTCTCTTAAATCAGGTAAAGATTCTTCCCACTTTATTCTTCAGAATGTCTCTAAACATTGTAAGCCTTGTGAATTTTAGAATTTGCTTATCTTCATCTGCAATTTTATCAGAATTGCATTAAATATATAGAAAATTTTGAGGAGAGTTGATTCTTTAATTTTTGAACACAGTATATCTCTCCATTAATTTGGCTTTGTTTTTGTGATACTGACAGTTTTCAGAAACTATTATTCTATTAGCTTTATACCTAAGTAATTTATTTGGGGAGCTATTTTTCTTCTTTCTTTTGTATTTTCATTGTTAGTGTATAGAAATCTTTTTTGTTTTTATTTTTTGCTTTTTTTGTATTGCCCTTGTATCTTTTGTAAGTGACTTTAGTTTTCTACATGGGTGTTATTGTCCACAGATTGATAAAGTTTTACTTCTTTCTAAACTGTTTTTTAATTCTGTTTTAGGTTTGCATTGGCTAAGGTTTCAAATGTGATGTTGGAGAGGAATGCAAGAGAGACATCCTTGACATGCTAAAAGATTCTTATCATGCATTGTTCTTGAAGTTTTGTTAAATTGTTCTCTACATATTTTGATAGCGTTGTGTTTTCTTTTTTATTCTATTAATACAATGCATTATATTAATTTTCAAATATTGAATCAGTTTGGCATTTCTAGGATAAACCCCACATGCCATGGTGAATTGTTTTTTCTATTCTATTCTATTAATAGATTCAATTTAATAATATTTTGTTGAAGATTTTTTTGTCTGTTTTCAGGAGAACTATTAGTCTGTAATTTTTTTTGTGTTGTCTTTGCTTTTTTTCCTAATCAAGGTAACACTGGCCTCGCAAATGAGTCTGAAAATGTTGCTCCTTTTCTATTTTCTAGTGAAGACTGTTAAATTGATTTTATTTCCATTTTTGCTTTATTTTTATTTATTTTTATTGCTTTTATTTTTATTTTTATTTTTATTTTTATTCTGCATTTTTTTAAATTGACAAGCATGGATAGTGGAATGGCAAAGTCAGGCTATTTATGTATTTGTCTCACCTTTTTGTGGTGGAAATACTTAGGTTTTACTCTTACCAGTTTTCAAGTATATAGTCTATTATTGATCACAGTCACCAAACTGTACAATAGATCTCTTGAACTTATCCCACCTGTTTACTGAAATGTGAAATTTTGAGGATTTCACAAAAATGTAACATTGCATTATGTAGATTTATTACACAGATGTATTGATCACACTGGTACAACCTTATTGGTGGTGCTTTTCTGCAAAATTTTGCACTATTTCTCACATTGTACACCTCTTCCTAATCTCATTTGAAGTGAGAGATTTCTCTGGCTTTTTCTTCTTCTCTTCTGCAGACAAGATCTCCTCCATAACCTCTTTGAGCCAATCACCCACAATCCTACAGCAGGATGAGCTAATGGGGGAACCATTAGCTCAGTTGTGATCATGTGACATTGGTGTCACATACTCGTATCGCATGATTTAATTTAAGTTAAAATTTATTAGAAATGTTTGCTTGTTTTGTGGAACACTAACAGAATAAGTTACTTACAATCCAAGGTTTTACTGTATATGCTGTATATTGTTTCATTTATACTACTAGTTTCTCTTCATTGTAAAGAAAGCTTTGTGCTAATATCTGTTTTTTTAAGAATTTTTGTCCATGTCTTGTACTGTGAGTAATACTCTGAAGATAATATGCATTTTTATTAACTGTTACTTTTTTGTTTCATAAAATAAAAATAAAAATCCATTCCAACAATTTTAATTAGTATGTTTAGGCCATTTATAAGTTCGTGTGATTATTTTTAGATTTACCATATTACTGGTTTTTATTGTCCTGATTTTCCTCAGCTTTCACTTTCCTACTGCTTCCTAGGTTATTTGAACATTTTTTAGTGTTTTGCTTTATCTTTTAACACTATTTATATTATTTTTAGTGGTTACACTAAGAATTACAAAATACATCTTTTATTTTTTACAGTAGAGTTAATCTGTAATTTACCACCAAATGACATATAAATCTTTTATCCCTTCCTGCCTCTTTTATAGTGTGCATGTCATATGTAATACACCTGCATATATTGAAAATTTACATTTCTTGCTTTTCACCTTTAAACATACTCTAAAATATTTGAAAAGGAAAATAATATATCATATTTACACATTTCTCTTCTTTTTCTCACATCCAGCATTTCATTCTGCTATCTCTATCTGTCCAAAGGGTTTCCTTTAGCAATTCATTTAGAATAGGTCTTCTTACAATGAGTTATCTTAGATTTTTTTCACTGGCAGTGTATTCATTCTAAATTTTAAAGAATATTAAAAATATATAGGACATTCTTTGTAGATACAAAGATCTCATTTGCCATTTCTTTTTTTATTTAGCACTTTAAACTTCTTATTCCACTTCTTTCTGGTCTTTATGGTTTCTGATGCAAAATTCACCATAATTAAAGTAGTTCTCCTATAGAGAACATGTCATAGTTTCTTTGTCTTTAATTTTCAGCAGGTTGGATATAATCTAAAGCATGGATTTTTTTGGATTTATTCTCCCTGGAGTTTGCTAAACTGGCATATTTATGTTTTTCACCAAATTTTGGAAGGTTTTGGCCATACTTCTTTTTAATTACTACTATATGTTTTTAATACGTAATAATTACATTCATCTTGAAGGATTGGTTTTGATTTTAGGTAAAAAGATATAAATATACAGACACACACACACACACACACACACACATATCACATCTTCATCACTTTTACTACCCCTTCCCCCTGCCCTGTTTCATTCCCTTTCTCCAGATGACCTTCCCAACTCTGAAAGTCTACCTCCCTGTTTTCTATCATCTTTCTTTTATTTTGTTCTTTAAATTATTTATATTTTGTGTTTCTCATATAAAAGAATATAACCTTCTGTGTCTGATTTATTTCACTTAGCATTTTGTTATCAAGATCCATCCATTTTCCTATGAATCATTCAAATTCATCCTTTTTGGTTGTGTGGTACTCATGGGGGTGGTGAGAGAGAGTGGAGAGGGAAGGAGGGAGGGAGGGAGCTCATATTTTCTTTATTCATCTGTAAATGGGTATAAAGTCTGCTTTTCCATAATTTAGACACTATGAATTGTACTGCTATAAGCATGGGTATGCACATATTGCTATAGTACAATATCTTTCATGTTTTCAGGAAGATACATAGAAGTAGGATAGCTGGGTCAAATGGAATTTTGTATTTGTAGTTTTTTGAGAAATCTTCACACTGATTTCCATAGTGGTTGTACCAGTTTACATTTCCATTTACAATGTAGAAGAGTTCCTTTTTCCTACATCCTTGCCAACATTTGTTGTTTTTTAAGTTCTTGATAGCCATTCTTACTGGACTAATATGAAATCAGTATTGTTTTAATTTGCACTTCTTTAATGGCCAAAGCTGCTGAACATTTTTAAATGTATTATTACCATTTGTACTGCTTCGTGTGAGCAATCTGTGTGCATTTCAATTGCTCAATTTTTGGATTGGGTTGTTTCTTTGTGGGAGTCTAATTTTTTCTTTATATTCTAGATACTAGTCCTCTGCCCAAAGAGTAGTTGGAAAAAAAGTTTTCTGTGGATTGTCTCTGCACTGTATTGTTTTCCTTTGCTATGCAGAAGATTTTAATTTGACATAATCCAATTTGTTGATTGTTGATTCTTTTGAGGGGGGTACAGGCCATTGAACTCAGGACCTTGCACTTTCAAGGCAGGCATAGTGTCACTGAGGTATATGCCCAGCCCTGTTGATTCTTTTTTTTTTTTTTTAGCTTTAATTGAGTTTATTGGTACATTTTAGGGATACAGTACAGTTACATTCATTGTTGGGATCTTGTACCTCTACATGACAAGTCTTGATTCTCATTTTTTCCCCTTACCTCTGCCCTCCCTTCACCCCCTCCTCCCCTCCCCATCTACAAACACTTTATTTTCATCTTTTCATTCTCTCACATTTTTTTCTTTTCCCTTTTTACTCTTCCCCTACCCATCCCACCTTCTCTACACCTTTAGCTCCTTTCTTCCCATTTCTAAACCTGTTGATTCTTGATATTGCTTGTGTAATTGGATTTTTTTTTCAGGAAGCCTTTGCCTATGCTTATGTTTACTACAGTTTTACCTATTTTATCTTTTGGCACATACAGTGTATGGTTTTATATCTAGGTATTTGATCTAGTTTGATTTTAGTACAGAATAAAAGATGTTGGTCTAGATTTATTCTTTACTTGGATTACCAAATTATTCAGGCACCATTTGTTAAAAAGGCTATCTCCAGTATGTATGTTGGACCCCTTTGTCAAAAATCAGATGGCTCAAGGGCTGGGGATTTAGCTCAGTGGTGCCACTGCCTGCCTTGCAAGCACAAGGTCCCGAGTTTGATCCCTGGTACAAAAAAAAAAATCAGATGGCTCAAGATGCATGCTATTGTTTCTGCATCCTCAGTAGCATGACTTTGTGCCAGTACCATGCTGTTTATATTACTGTAGCTTTGCAAAATATCTTGAAATCTGGGATTGTAATACCTCTTACTTTGCTCCTTTTGCTCGAAATTACTTTGATATTCTGGGTCTCCTCTGGTTCCATATAAATTTTAGAATTTTTTTCCTAGTTCTGTGAAGAATATTGTTGGTGTTCTGATTGGAATTGCACTACATCTCTATATCGTATTTGGTAATAGGGCCATTTTGACAACATTAGTTTTGCCCACTGAACAAGGGATGGTTTTTCATTTTTCTAATGTCTTCTTCAATCTCTTTTTCTAGACTACTATAGTTTTTGTTAGAGAGATCTTTCACTTTCTTGGTTAATTCCCAGGTATTTAACTTTTTTTCTTTTTATTGAGTTTGTTGGTACAATCTAGGTATACAATACAGTTACATTCATCATTGGGATCTTGTACCCTTATACTAGGTCTTGATTCTCATTTTTTCCCCTTGTCTCTGCCCTCCCTTCACCCCCTCCTCTCCTCCCCATTTACAAACGCTTTATTTCCATTTTTTCAGTTTTTCATATTTTTTTCCTCTCCCTTATTACCTTTCCCCCACCCTTCTCACTCTCCCTACACCTTTAGCCCATTACTTCCTATTTCACATTATTAATTATCTCATTAGGATCCAGTGTACTATCATAGTTTTCCATACCAGAGAAACTATTCGGTATTTCAGTTAAAGAAATCTCTGTATGAACATTAAAAATAGGGAATCCTAAAATAAAACTAAAAAGGAAAGTAAAAGAGAAAAGGCAATGATATAAGATTAAAATAATCCTTAATTCTGAAGATGAAAATGGTCCCTTAACATATTTAAATTGCTTCTTGCTCTTGTAGTCTTATTCTGTTTTTCATTTTTTAGAGAATACTTTATTAGTTTCTGTAATCAAACCCACGTAGATATGACCTTACATATTTAGTACAATGCGTTACCCCTGTACAAATGGAAAAATAAAAATAAAAAAAATTAACATTTCTAGACCAATATGGCTGTCCATTTCTATACAATGCCAACTCAACACAGTAAATTGGGATAACTTTTTCCAAAGTAGGCAGCACCGTTAAAGTTTCCCAAAATTCAATTTATATATATATTTATATTTATATAAAAAGACTAATATCAGTATGTTATGCATCGATAGCAGCAACAGCTTTTCCAGGTACTGCAGTCATCTGAACAAAATTATACACATTCAGCACATTCCATTAAACAAAACAAAAACAAAGAAAAGAATAATATGCAGAAAATAGCAAAGTTCTGTTGCTGTTGTGGTACCTGGCACCATTTTTTTTATTAGCATCTTAATCATCATCTGGAAAGAGAACATTCTAGAGTAACATCATTAACTATAGCTCTGATAAAGCATGGTCACTACTATGTATCATAAAGCAGGTACAAGATATTTTACATTCACAGAGATATGATAACAGTACCATCCTACATCAATAATACTAGAATCAGTTTTGGTTTGAAATTTGCTTTGTCTGCAAATAAGATTGCTACTCCTGTTTTTTTCTGGGCTCCTGTCACATGGAGAATTGTTTTCTATCCTTTCACTTTCAGTCTATGGCCTTCTTTTTGCCCTGGGTGTGTTTTCTTGTATGCAACATATTGTTGGATTTTGCTTCTTATTCCATTTTGCCAGTCTGTTTCTCTTGATTGGTGAGTTGAGGACATTGACATTGATGATTATAACTGATATGTACTGACTTATTATTGACATGTTATTGGCCTTTTGTTGACTCTTTTTACTTTTTCACCTTCTCCTTTTAGTTTCTTGCCTTGCCTATTTGATTTGCTCTGTTGGGCCTCATGGTGTTGTTGCCTTCATTGTCTTTTTCTAGGATCTTGTTTAGAATTGCTTGTAGTGCTGGTTTGGTATTCATGTAGTTTCTCAGGTGTTCTTTGTCATGGAAGTGTCTCATTTCCCCATCCATTTTGAAAGAGAGTTTTGCAGGATACATCAGTCTAGGTTGGAGGTTGTTCTCTTTTAGTACTTGAAATATCTCATTCCAGGCTCTCCCTGCCCCAAGGGTTTGTGTTGAAAAGTCTGCTGTGATTCTGATGGGCTTTCCTTTGCATGTGATTTGTTTCTTTTCTTTTACTGCTTGTAGTATTTTGTTCTTCCATGAAGGCCCAGCATAAGAAAGAAATGGAAAAAGTAAATGCCCAACATAGGAAAGAAATGGAATCCATAAAACAGATTCAAACAGATATCCAGGAGATTAAACACTCCATTGAAAGTGTACGCAACAGAATAAAAGAATGCGAAGATAGACTCTCAGATATAGAAGATAAGATTGCAGTCAGTGACCATGAAAAGAGAGGTCTCTTAAAAACAGTAAGGGATCATGAGAAATCGATCCAGCAACTCCTAGATGATGCAAAGAAAAATAACATAAGACTTATAGGAATACATGAAGTAGCAGGAGAAAATACAAATGACTTAAAAAAGCTGTTTGCAGAATTAATGATGGAAAACTTCCCCAACAGAGGGGAATAATTTGACATTCAGATAACTGAGGCATATAGGACCCCAACTAGCTACAATCAAAAAAAAATCTACACCTAGACATATATTTAAATTTTTTGAAGCTACTTTGAATGGGATTGTTTTCCCTGATTTCTTTTTTGGTGAGTTCATTGTTGGTATGCAAGGATGCTATTGATTTTTGTAAATGGATTTGTATATTGCCACTTTGCTAAAGAGTTCTGGTGGAATTTTGGGGGGGATTTTATATGTAAAAGATCATGTCATCTGCAAATAAGGGCTACTTGAATTCTTCCTTTCTTATTCATATCCATTTGTTTGTTTGTTTGTTTGTTTGTTTTTGGAACTGGGGATTGAACTTGCGTCCTTGCACTTGCAAGGCAGGCCACCGAGCCACTGAGCTAAATCCCCAGCCCTCCTTTTATTTTTTTTTTAATCTTGCTTCATTGCTGTGGCTAAAGTTTCAACTACTCTAATTGAAAGAAGAGTGGTGAAAATGGATGCCTGGGTCTTGTTCATGATTTTAGAAACAATGCTTTGTTTTTCTCCAGTAAGACATTGCCAGTAAATTTGTCATAAATGGCTTTTATCAGTTTGAGTTAAGGTCTTTCTGTATGTATTTTCTTCTGTGTCTTTTAGCCTTATTCCTAATTATTTTTCTTATTGTACTGTTTTCCATCTGGAATTTTGATTATACAAACGGTATATATTTTGATATTGTTCTACTACAAGTCTGTGAAAGTTTTTAAAGAGGTTTCTTTCTGTTCTTTTTTCCCCTGTTCAGATTGGGTAATCTTTATTGTTGTATCCATATTCTTTCCTCTTTTCTCTGTTCTACAATACTGAAAAAAGGACCAGAGTCCTCAATATTCATTATAAAAGTCCTCCCTTAATTCCTCTTGTCCTTATGGTTGCTTTACCCTCAAACCATCCCTTTTGTTTCTCCAGAAGACTCTCTTTGTCCTCCAGCAGGTGTACGAGGCACAGGACAGGGTATCTCCAGATATCCCCACACTTTTATCTGGTACTCTTTGTTTTCATTCCCATTTTACCCCTTCCCTTCTAATGAGCCTTCTAGTCAAATTCCTGAGCTTTTATTTTATATCTTGTATAAATGTGGGTTGCTTCTCAGTCTTTCCCACTGCCAGCTCAGTACTCCCTACCTAATCAGATGTCTGCTATCCTGTATTCAGAAATATGAATGTTTCTTTTCTCTCTGGCCATGAAGTTTATATGTTAAATCTTTATTTTGGTAGCACTTTAACTGAGAAAAAGTAATAAATTTGTGTATTCAAACTTCCATCTTTGTTTGGGAGTGAGGAAAAAAATGTGAACCTGAATTTTAAAATGTGCTCAGATATAAATTATAAATAATAGTTTATAATTGTTCTCTGATATATTTTAGGATGATATCCCCACTGGCATGCCATGTCTAGAGTCAGTTACCATAGGTGATGATATTTGGGATGAGAACTGGCTGAAAATGGGAAAGGAAGGTGATGCTGTCTCCCATCTGTTTACCTCAAGTCTTGGTGGAAAGAAACAGTATTCATCATGTGAAGAAATACCACAAAAGGTTAGATACTTAAGAGTAATACAAAGCAAATCACTGTTGTCTGAGCTTCAAGAAAGCTATTTATTTGGGAATTCAAAAGGATTTGTCAGACCATAATTCAAAGGATTTTATGACTTGTGTTTGTATGTGAATGACAGAGGTAGATAAGGGGACACAAGATGCAGCAGAAGAGCATAAATAGGCTTAATATGCATATCTGCTTTTCCAAGCATTATGGTTTTTGTTTCATCATTGGCTCTTAGTCCAGGCTTTACAATTATAAATAAACTATTTTCTCTAATTTTATTTTTGTTACATTAGTCTTGTAATATGACCATAGGGTTCTCCATTCAGAGTGTTGGCTAATATTATGCCTAGCTATATAGTTGAAATTTGTTTTCCACTGGTTAAAGCAGTAATACCTGTAGTTAAATAGCTCTGATATATGTATGCCTTTTAAGTACTAGATTATGAAAAATCAAGATGTGAAAATGGTATTAAATTCTCCAAATGGTTATATTTATTTTATGAGATCCAACTATTCAAAGGAGTTCAAGATACTGTATATAAGCCATTAAAGCAAGGAAGTTAATGCCTTTTTGTGTTTAATACACATTACTTCCTTACCTTTACTTTACCCATGTTGTACCTTTTTGGGGGATCATAAGTCACTATTTGTCAGTTTATTTTGTAGTTTTCTTTATAGGATTGTTGTTTTTCTCAACTCAAAGATAAATGGGATGATTTATGGCAGCCTTCAGGCCTTATGAATGGAATGAAAGTAGAAATTAAAAAACCAGAAGAGCTGAATTCTCAAAAAATAAATACTGATACAACCAAGATTGAAAAGGTAAATGTCCAATGAGTGTTACTGTGATAATTTTAAATACTTTGATTCTTAGGAAGTAAATTGTGATTGATGATTCCTCTTAGTGGTTGGTAGAATATATTTGTATAAAATATGTTGATTTTTCAAGTTAATTTTAATTAGTACATTCATTCATCACTTAGGAAAAATATGACTCTAGAATAGGGATAGAGGAGGTGGCAGTGGCAGCTGCTTATCTCATGGCAGCCAGAAGTACAACGAGAAAGAACTAGTGTCAGAGAGGAAGGGCCAGGATGGGATATAGTTTCCAAGGTCATGACCTGTTCTCTTCAGCTGGGTGCACTTCCTGATATGTCAAATTATGACCCCATCAGTGAATTAATCCACTGATGAAGTTAGAGCCCTTATGATCCAGTCACCTTCAAAAGCCCATCAGATAGCAACTAAGCCCCTGAAACATGGCCTTTGAGGGACATTTTAGATCCAAATATAATATTCATGTATCTTTAAGAAATAACAGCTTTAATCATACAACAGTGATCCATGCACACTCATGTTTTTAGCAGCACAACTTATAATAGCTAAATCTAGGAAACAGCCCATATGCCCATAAGTGAGTGAAAAGAAAGAAAATCTTTTTATGCACAATGGAGTATGACTTACCATAAAAAAGGATAAACTTGAGACATTTTTAGGTAAATGGATGCACTTTGAGAACATAATTTTAAGTGAAATAAATTGGACACATGTTTGAATATCGCATTGTTCCTCTGGTATGAGAACCCCAAAGGATAAATAAGGACCAAAGTGGAGGATAGATATGGGGAAGAAGGAAGGAAATGTTCAAATGAGAAGGGGAACAAGGGAGTGGGGAGGGGAAAGGAAAGGAAAGGAATAGGGTTGTAAAAAACTAAAGAATGGGAGGGGAAAATAACAGCTTTATTGAAATATAATATGTCATTATAATGTACAATTTGATTGCAGAGTTGTATAGTCATCACTATAATCCGTTTTATAACATTTTAAACACCCCAGGAAAAATATCTCCATACCCTTTAGCAGTTATACCCCTTCTGCATCTTCCCACAGCCTTAAGCAACTACTAATTTGTCTACTTTCTTACAGATTTGCCTGTTCCAGACATTTTCCAAAAATACCATACCATACTATATATGCTGTTTTGTTGTTTTCAAGGTTCATCCATATTGTAGATTTTTTAAACATGTTTGTCTCGCAAGCTGGTGAGAACATATTAAACTGGGTATTGAAGCCAGAGCCTTCACACTGAGCCAGATCCCTACCCTATTTATTTATTCATTTAGTTAGTTAGTTAATTTTTGAGACAGGATCTCACTAATTTTCCTAGGCTGGGCTTGAACTTGTCATCCCAAACATACTGGGATTACATGCATAGATTACCCTGCTCAACTAAGCACTTCATTTTTAATGACTAAATAATATTCCATTGTACAGTATAATGCATTTTATTTGTTCATCGGTTCATGGGAATTTGGGCTGTTTCCACATTTTGACTGTTATGAATAATGCAGCAGAGAACATTCAAATACAGATTTGTGTGGAATTGCTGGGTCATATGAACTCTGTTTGTAGCTTTTTATGGAATTACTAGTTTCCCAAGGCAGCTAAACCATTTTATATTCTTTCCAGCAGGGATGAGGGCTCCAGATTCTCCATTTTTACCAATACCTAGTGGGTATGAGTGTATTTCATTATTGTTTTGACTTGCACATCCCTGATGGTTGATGGCAAGAAAAGCTGTTAAGTGTCCTTATTATGGAAAAATGTCTTTTCAGATCCTCTGCCCATTTGTAAGTGTGTTGTCTTTTTATTCGAGTGTAAAGTGAAATACTTTATTACATGTTCTGTATCAAATAAGATGGTTTTCAAAATTTTCTACCATTGTCTTGGCTGTCTTTTCACTTTCTAGATGATGTCCTTTTCAGCATAAATTTTTTTCATTAAGTCTAATTTTTTCTTTTGGTTACTTGAACTTTTGATGTCACATCTATAAATCAATGCCTAATCCAAGGTTTCAAAGATTTGCACCTGGCTTTCTAATAAGAATTTTATAGTTTGAGCTCTTACATTTAGGCCTTTGATCCATTTTGAGATAATTCTTGTCATGGTGTAAGATTAAGGTCCCAGCTTCCCTCTTTTGCATACCAAGATCCAGTTGTTCAAGTACTAAATATTGAAAAGAGGATTCTTTTCTCATGAATTATTTTCCCATATTTGTCAAAAGTTAGTTGACCATAGATTAGTTTATTTCTGGATTTTCAAATCTGTTGTTTGTGTGTGTCTCCATATGTCAGTAATTATCTTGTCTTAATTGAGTTTTTAAAATAAGTTTTGAAATAAGGAAGTATGAGTCCTCAAAACTTTTCTCTCCATAGTTTTATAATACTTTCTTGTGAGGAGTATTTAAGAAGGTAAAATAATTCTTCACTGTGTCATGAGCTTCTGAAGATATTCTTAAGGAATATTTTCTTAAAGTTGTCTTTACCCCCTTTTCTGTTCCTACTCTAAGACAACAGACTACTTGCCTTATTTCACTTTGGAGATGCAACTAATTTAACTTTTAAATCAAGTCATTAGTCTTCTTCATAGATTTCATTATGACATGTTCTATACTATACAGCTTGTACTCTTAGTTGAGTACATCCCTGGTAAGGTGGAATTCCATGTTATTTCTGTTGTTGAGGATCCCAACTATCCTAGACCCCAATGTGTATAGTAGTACCTTAAGAAATGTTAGGAAGGTTTTTATCATGAATGGGTGTTGAATTTTGTCAAATGTTTTTTCTGTTTCTATTGAGAGGATTGTATAGTTTTTGTTCGTGACTTTGTTAATATAGTGTATTACATTTATTGACTTACATATGTTGAACCATCCTTGCATCCCTGGAATAAATCTGACTTGGTCAGGATGTATGATCTTCTTTATGATCCTCTGTATTCTGTTTGCTAGTATCTTATTAAGGATTTTGCATCTATATTCATTAAGGAGATTGGCTTGTAGATCTCTTTTTAAGTTGGGTCTTTCCCTGGTTTGGGAATCAAAGTGATACTTGTTTCCAGGAATGAATTTGGAAGTATAGCTTCCCTTTCAATGTCATTGAAAAGTTTGAAGAGTAAAGGCAATAGTTCTTCTCTAAATGTCTTGTAAAATTCAGCAGTGAATCCATCAGGACCTGGGCTTTTCTTTGTTGGTAAATTTTTAATTACATTTTCAATTTCACTGACTGTAATCGGAGTGTTTAGAATGTTTTTATCTTCTTTGTTCAACTTTGGTAATTCATAAGTGTCTAAAAATCTGTCCATTTCTTCTGTGTTTTCCAATTTATTAGAGTACAGGTTCTCAAAGTAGGTATTAATGATCCTCTGGATTTCTGTTGAATCTGTTGTGACTTCCTTTTTCATTCCTGATTGCATGGATCTGAGCCTTTTCTTTCCTTTTTTTGATAAGATTAGCTAAGGGTTTATCGATTTTATTTATTCTTTCAAAAAACCAACTCTGATTCATTTATTTTTTGTATCATTTTCTTAGTTTCCATTGCATTGATACATTGCATTGTTCTGCTCTAATCTTTATAATTTCCTCTCTTGTTTGAGCTTTGGGTTTTTCCTTGCTCTTGTTTTTCTAGTAGCCTAAGATTCATCATTAGGTTATTTATCTGAGCTCGCTCTGTTTTCCTAGCATGGGCATTCAGTGCTATGAATTTTCCACGTAGAACTGTTTTCATTGTGTCCCATAGATTCCTGTATATTGTATTAGCATTTTCATTTATTTGTAAAAAATGTCTGATTTCTTCCTTAATTTCCTCTGTGATCCACTGATTGTTCAGGAGAGTGTTGTTCAATTACCATGTGTTTGTGAAGTTCCTGTGGTTTCTTGTGCTATTGATCTCCAGCTTGATTGCACGATGATTGGATAATATACAGGGGGTAACTTCGATTCTTTTGCATTTATTCAGGAAGGGCCAGAGATTTAGCTCAATGATTCTGCTGCCTGTCTTGCAAGCGTAAAGTCCACAGTTTGATCCCCAGTACCAAAAAAAAAAAAAAAGAGAGGGAGAAAAGAAATGTTAGGAAGACCTTGCACTTTATTTCAGGCCCTTGTAGGTTTGCATTGAGCTTGTGTATGTATAGCTTTTTTATAGCATAAAGTGTTTATTACAAGTTCTAGAGACTTGGCAATTTATGAATACATTTCAGTATTGAAATACAGTAATATTTGTATTGCCAAGTATAGTGCTAGACTAAGTGGCTTATATTTCCATCAACAGATGAATTGATAAGGAAAAGGTGGTATTATACACAGTGGAGTAGTACTCTACCATAAAGAAAAACTTGAATCGATGTAGGAAAATGAACATATCTTGAAATCATAGTGCTAGAGCTTTAAAATTGCCTAGTTTCTGTTATATGCAAAACCCAAAATATAATTAGAAAAATAAAAGATAGATAATAGAAAACAGGGAGCACTTTCCAAATGGAGGGGAAAGGAGATGAAAAAAGAATTGTTATATAATGTTCATGTACCAACTCCCCACAAGTAATATAATTAAAATGTACTACAAACATGTACTAATGAAATATAAAAAACTTAAAAGGGGAAGTTTGATAAAAATATTTAAAATATTATATATAAAAATATTTACTTAGCTTTTTTGAAAGAACTTGGTGATACTTAGCCTCGTTTCAAATGAGGATAAACTTTAAAAATTGAATATGTAAGTTGTGTTAACTAAGCAAAAATTTGAATCCATCTTTGTTTCCTAAAATAGTATATTGGATAGCCCAGTGTAACTATCTGGGGTTTAAGAATTTAAGTTTTCTGCAAAAAAATTATACATATAGCCATTTATATATTATATAATTGTATAAGTAACATTCATTCCAGTCTTTGAAAATGAGGTGCTGTATTTTTGCCACAGAAGGAACCTTTATTGATATTAAATGTCTATTACACTGAGTCTGAAAAAGATGCAAACTAAATTTTATATTTGTACAGTTGTTGTTTCAGTTTGCTCCTGGACTGTAAACTACTTAAGTTTGTTACAGCTTGGTCATGGGGTACATACTAGTGGTACTAATGCCAGCTGTCATCATGGGGTTTCACATGTTATACACACTTTAGCAGTGACTGTATCATAGGAAGCTAGATCTAGTTTGTAATGGTTAAAATTGGGCACTACATACACTTAGCTCAAGTGCAGTCTCTGGGAAGTAACTCTTACCTCATTACTTCTGAGGTCTGCCTTTGTATTCTCCCAGCATTCATTCACTGTGCAGAATAGAGCTGATGCCTTCTTTCATGTATGTTATATATATATGCTGCTTCCCTAGGGGAACTGATGTCCACAGGGATAAGGATCATATCTTCCTGGGAGGTGGTGGGATAGAGCACAGAGAACAAGGACTGGCTTGAGCTCAGATCTACCCGCTGCCCTTTACTGATAGCTTAATCTCTCTGTAATAAGCATTATGCTAAGTGAAAGCTATACCACCTACCTAGAATGGTTGTTCTGTTTAAATTAAACACATGCAAATAACAGTGTCTGCGAGGAAGTGCTCAGTGAATGTCATTTCTCATGTCCTGCCACTCCTCCTTAGCTGTGTACAGTAGCACTCAGTACCAGGTTTACCTGTAGTATGTCTTCGATAAAGAGTACTTAACTTGATATTAATTTGGAAAAAAGGATTGCTTTTCCTCAAGATTGCCTAGGTTCTAAAGTGAGTTTTTCCTTATGAAAAATATTTGCATTTTGCATATAATAAAACAAAAATGGTTTAATTCTTGTTGTCCTAACACTTCTCCGTACCTTCACCCTTTTTCTGCCATTTTGCAGGAAATAGATTTGGAAGAGTCTTTGGATTCTTCCACATTGCCCAAACTGGAAGAGTTTTACATCTCTTTTATTCAGTCACAGCAGTCAGCAGAAGGGAGCCATTTTGAACCTAACAGCTTTCTTACTCAGCCACAGCAAATCCGGCTATCCACAGCAATATCCAGTTCAACTCCTACAGTGCTTGACACCCCACAAAAGGACTCTGCTTCTGGTAGGTTTACATGTACTGTGTGTGCTCACAATTGACATAGAATATTTTGCCATGGTGTTAAAAACGTTGATCTCTTTCAGAATATATTTTGAAAGATTGCCAGCTTTGCCATGTATCTCAGGTCCTCATCTTATTTTAGGGCTCAGTTGTTCCCTTTAGCTTTGTCACTCTTCTCTTTTTCATTGTTTTTTTATTTCAGGAGTTTCACATTTATGTAAGAAAAATTTGTTAGTTTTTATATGTGTGGACCTTTATTGACAAATGTGTACAATCATGGTATAAAACATTTTCATCAGCTTGGAAAACTGTGACAATCCCTCTGACAGCTTGCTGGCCTCTGGCACTGCATTTTCCCTTCCCTAGAATAACATAGTACTGTATGTAGTTTATATCTAGCTTCTTTCACTTATACAATAGCAGTTCTTTTTATTCAATGTTTATCTACAAGTGGTAATCATTTAAAGTGTTTCTGGTATAGTGGATAGGTAGAGGCATATTACTGTAGTTTTAATTTGCATTTTCCTAGATGCCATAATGTTGACCATCTTTTTATGTGCTTATTTGTGGTTCATATATCTTCTTTAGTTAAGTGGCTGTTCAAATTTTCACTTTTAAAACTGGGTTATCTTCTTATAAAAGTTCTTTATTCTGGATGCAGATCCTTCGCCAGATCTCTCTAGTTCTCTCTGTGTGTATGTGTGTGCATGTATGTATTATGTATATGTGTGTGTGTGTGTGTGTGTGTGTGTATGTGTGGTTTTATTCCTCCAGCCTATGGCTTACCTTAACAGCATTATTAGAAGAGCAAAAGCATTAATTTTGATCAAGTCTATTTGATATTTTATAACACAAGTTTAGCTTTTTCTACATCTATTGAGATGATTGTGTTGTTTTTAAAAATGATTATAGGCTAAATTTCAGCTAACCTTGGACCCTTGTAGTAATGCCCTCATAGTCATGAGGTACTGTCTATTTAATACTTCATTCTCTTTGTTAAAATCTTAAGAATTGTTATGACTATGTTTGTGAAAAATATTTTCCTATAGCTTTTGTTTTGTTTGTAGTGTTTTTGGTTTCAGTATCTAGCACAGTGGTGGCAAACCTGTGGCACACATGCTGTATCAGACACTCACAACCCTCTCTGTTGGCACGCAAGTCAAGACACCCCAACAGCTGAGCATCCAGGTTTAATTGCTGTGGTGGCAGTTTGCAATCTATAAGTTGATTTTGAGTTTGAACTCTCAGTCTCTAAAAAGTTCATTATCACTGACCTAGACAATGCTGCCCTCAGAATAAAGTGGGAAGGATCCCTTTCTCTTCTCTGGAAGAGTTTGTGTGTAATTGGTATTATTTCCCTTAAATGTTTGGTAGAATTCAACATTGAGACTCTCTGGACTTGGAATTTTCTTTGAAGGAAAGTCTTTATCATATGTCTTTAATAGAGATGATGTTATTTAGGTTATCGATTTCTTCTTGAGTGGAATATTGCCTCTAATCTCTAAGATCTGTTAGTATAAATTACTGGTATTGTTCCCTTATTTAATACCTGTAGAATCTTAGTGATACATATATGCTCCCGATCCTGATATTGGTAATTTGTGCTACCTTTTATTCTTCTGATCTCAGTGTGCCTGAATAATTTTTTATCTATTTTATTGATCTGAGACAAACAATTTCAGATCCTTGATAATTCCTTGTTGTTTTTGTGTTCTATTTAATTGGTTTCTGCATTGATTTTATTATTTCTTTCCTTCTGCTTACTTTAGGCCTAATTTTGTCGTCTTCTAATTTTTCAATTTGAAACCTTAGATCATTTATTTTACAGCCTTTTCTTTACTAATACAAATGACACAGACTTCCCTCTGATTCTGCTTTAGCTATAGCTCATGGATTTTGGATGTGTTGTTCTCATGTTCATTTGGTACAAATTACCTTCTAACTTTCCTTGTGAATGTTCCTGTCTCCAGTTATGAAGAATAGTGGTCCCCAACTTTTTTAGCACCAGAGACTGGTTTTTCCACAGACTTTGAGGGCGTTGGGTTCAGGATGACTCAATAACATTTATTGTGTACTTTATTTGTATTGTTACATTGTGATATATAATGAAATAATTATACAACTCACCACATGCATATGTACTGGGAGCCTGAACTTGCTCTCCTACAACAAGGTGATCCTGACCATGATGGAGACACTGACACTCAAAGTGTTGTTTATGTCCACTCTACTCAGCAATATTGTGAGCATTATAGTTCTATGATCAGAATTTCACTTTTAACTACAGTCCCCGTTAAGTCCTTCTTTATATAACTTATCGCTAATGCAAGCAAAATAGAGCACATACTGCTGCTAGATGCTAAAGATGCAAAGTTGAATGAAAGATTGGAATTATGCTCACTTTTTCTCTTTTTGAAATCCATGTTAAGATAGCAGTGGCAATTTGTGAAGAGTTTGCATGGTAGGTGGCACAGTGAGCTTGTGCCAGAACATTAAATCAATTGCAGGTACACTGCTGCATACATTGTTTAGATCACCTGGATTTTTTTTTTTCAAAGCAGGATTTTCTTGAAGAAAGCAGTGTCTTGGCTTAGATGTCATCAAAAACTTGAACTGTAGGAAGACAGTAAATAGTCATACCAGCTACTTTGGGTAGCACTGGTCTAGAGTACTTACCTGAGCACGCCTAGCTTCCCCTCCATGACCTTTAGGAGCTATGGGACATTGGAGTTCCAGAAATTTCATTTCATTTAAAGGATTATTTCCTCGTAGTTAAAACTAATGTCCAAGGCCGTCGTTTTATGGCTAACTGGCTTTTGGTACTTGTTAGCAATCAATTTGGTATGGTTTTTATACTGGACCCACTTTGGCAATAGAGAATGCTTGCTTGTAGACACCATTTGTTTTTTGTTTTTTTTTTTAGAACTGAGTGAATTCTGGCACAAGCTCACTGTGCTAGAAGAAAGTAGGAGAGCTTGTGGGCTCTTTAGGGTTTGACTTTATCCAGTTGACGGCACTCCTATGAAGAATGTTCCCTGTGTTTATGAGTGCGTTCCCCCTTCTCTCAGCTCTCATCTTGATAAGAACGCAGTATTCTCAGCATGTGATTCTCCCTCCCCATCTCCTCTTTGTTTGCTGACTTGTTTCCGAGCCTCATTCCCTGACTGGCCATTGGAAATTGTCCCCACCCAGCAGAAAATAATGTAGTACATGTTGGTAAAGAGCTGGAATAGTAGGAGTGAGAAAGCAATGAATCTGAGAACCCCTTGAAAAGACTCTCGTGTTTCTTTTTTAGTAGGAAGCTCTCCAGGGAGCCGAAAGAATCAAGATTTTTCCAGCAGTTCTATTCCAGCATTCAAGGACAAGAGTCAAGGATCTATGGACCAACTGTCTTTTATTTTGTCTCCAGAGCACAAGATTTCTCAGAAGCTCTACATTCCTCGAAGCACAGCCACTGCTGCCTTAGGGGCTGCTGCACGGTTAGCTACCTCCAGGAGCTTCCTGCGTTGGTACCCGACTGTGAAAGGGATGGAAGCATGAGGGAAGGGGGAAGAGTTTAAAGAGTAGTATTTGGTAGTTGATATGTTTATCTGTCTCTGACTACATGTAGCTTTATTATGCTAACTGACCATTTTGGTGTATAAGTATTGATGTTTAATGTTTTTATTTTTACTGTTTTTATTTTATTCTGTATGATTGTCTCACCTTTTTTTAAGGTAGTAGTTTAAAGGATTTTCTGTTTATTATTCTTGTACATATCATGACATTCAATGAAAACTGAAAAACTATATTTAGCAAGTCAAAAATATTCTATCTCCAAAAAAGGATGTCTGAATTTCAGGGCCACTGCTTTCTATCTAATTTGAAACCTTTGATATCATAGATAAGATCCACACCCTGAAACTTTGGTCATAGAAGTACTTTTACATTTAAAAAAAAAAACTCTTAGCCAGGCATAGTGTCACGCACCTGTAACCCCAGCATTTGGGAGGCAGGAGAATTGCTGCAAGTTCAAGGCCAGATTGGAATAACAAGACCCTGTATAAAAATATATATATATTCTCACTATGAGCAAATTTCTGAAACATAGCTGAAGCCATCTCTATAGTTAACACAGTACTCAGGAACCTTAATGTAGCAACAGTGGTATTATTTAAGCCTATGTAACATATTGTCTAAGTTGTACTTTGTGAAATGTTATATGACATTCTGTTGAACTCATAAGTGAGCTTGAGCCCAGGATTTTGAGGACAACTTGAGCAACATAGCAAGACCTTGTCTCAAAAATATAAAGATCCAGATTCACCTATTATTCCAATGTATCTGTAAGAATGACGATCCATTGACAGACAAAGACTTACCCTGGAAACAGTGTTCATAAGTTCCAAACATATCAGATTTTTTTTTTGCATTACTGGAGATTGAACTCAGGACCTCATGCATGTTAGGCAAGTGCTCTTCCACTGAGCTATGGCCTCAGCCCTATATCAGACATCTTTATTGGAGAGTTTCATAAATTGTCAGTGAAGAGTTAAATGCTATATGTGACACTCAACTTTAAAGGAACTTGACAAAGCTCTGGTTTTCATATAAGTTTAAGTAATTATCCATCATTTGTTTTTAGAGAAAAGTTCATTCTTAATACTTCAGATGAGCACTTACTGGGTTTGAAATAATCTAGTCGAAGCAGTATGTTAGAAGTAGAAGGGTTTACAGAAAGACATATTTATAGTACATTAAATTGTAACCTTCTTTATAATAGCACCCAAGTAACAGGAGGATCTCTGCCAAAACTGGGTAGCCTGTTCGTAAGTTTGACAATTGGTTTCATAACCTGAAAAGGACTAATTTTATACTTTGCAAGTTAAAAGGGATTGTGGAATAACTGTGTTAAGGCTTTGTCAGGGTCACAGCTTTTTGCAAATAAAGAGACAGTGATTTAGACAGAGCCATCCTGAACTGATGAGTTTCACCACCCTTTGAAAGAAGCCTGTTTAGTAATTAATAGCTAACATCTCATATGAGGAGAGTGATGAATGAACATTTGAAAAGCTTGTACATTTTGACTACTTGTTTGGCTAGGCCAGCCAATCTAGTAGTCTGTTTACCTACCTTGTCCCTAAAATATGGGCTTTATTTGGTGAATTTTCAAGGCATCAAGTTTAATAGATTGTTTGAAAATTAATAAATAGGTTTCTTATATAGGTAAATGCAATAAGAAGTGTACAAAAAAATACATAGATGAGCTACAGGTGGGGGCATATGCCTGTAATCCCACCTTCACAGGAGATTGAAATGGGGATTGCAAGTTTGAATCCCACCTGGACAACTCAGTAAAACCATGTCTCAAAAAAGTAGAATGGGGATATAGCTCAGCGATAGAAGACCTCTGGGGCTGATCCCTGTCCACAAAGTATAGGTTGACATCCACACTTTCAACATGTGTGATGATAAAGGAGCTACCTGCAGTAATGCAGACCTCACACATGTGAGATGCCAATTGCTCATTTCAAGGCATAGGAATGACTGGAGATTTCTGGCCTGCATTCAGCCTGTGTCTAACCTAGTGACTTACAATTATCCAATTTTGATCTAGGAAGGACCTCAAGTGAGGAAATATGAAGCCTAGAAAGACTGACTGACCTGTACTCACACAGCTTGAATTCCCATGCCTGCTGACTTTACAAAAAAAATATTGCATTTCTACCTTGTTTAACTTGATTTGTCCCAGAAGACACACATTTAGTAGAGCAGTCCAAAGGAATGGTGCTTTTTATAGCTGAAGAAAACTCTTGTAGGTAGGGAAGTATTCTTGAACAATTTAATAGTGGGAAATTCTACAGCCAAATAATATGAAAAAGAGGCATCATAAAGAATGAAAAACCAACATCTTACAAATAAATCTTTCTGAAGCTTGCTATAACATTTATAGTACATAACAAGGCTTTTCTAACATTTTAATATTTTCAGACTCATATGGCTAGCATTCACAATATTCATAATCGTGTAGGAGCTATCACTAGACACTGAAAATGCTTTTATTTCCTAAATCCCATCTCCTCTATTCTCCAGATCTTGACCTTTTCCAAGGAATCAACCAAAGTACCATAAAGTGAAACTACATGTGTTTAACTGCATTCCCAACAAGTAGGTGTCACTTCTCTCAGTCACCAGTGTTTTGGATCATTGGCCTACTAGAACCAGAATCCTTGTAAACACTGCCTTTTTAACTCTGTACACATAAAATGTTAACTGTCCAGAAAAGGACTTTTATAATACTTAGTCATACCACTTTTCATGTGAATTTGAGCATTGAGCCATATGACAAAACTGAGTAGAGAATGTATTCACAGCTAAACCTTTTGGGGTTATATAGTTTTCAGTAAAATGCTTAAAAATCTATAGTCATAAGCTCTTTTATGATTCTGTTAAATAATTTTAATTTATGAAAAATGGGTATAGGAATGTTAACTTGATTATTCTTGATGCAATTTAGATAAATTATCTGATGAGGAAAACAAGTTTATGACTATCTCTGTCCTCAATTTTGTTTGCAAACCTAATGGTAGGTTATTGGGATCAAGAAACAATGATTAATCTTTGGAGGTTGTAACACCATTTTGTTTGATTTAAATATCAGTGAAGTTGGAAGTTTGTTTTGTCAAAAATGTCTAGGTGCTTATTTTTATTGTATTGATTCTATAGGAAATGAAGATTTCACTTGAGTATGAGACCCAAAAACCTTTAGTTGAATAAATATAAAATTTGTGTGGATGGAAAACAAAGTTGACACTCTTCTTGACTAAGTCATTTATATTCATTTTTTGGCATGACTGCTTCATTTTTAATGAAGGTTTTTACAAACTTTTGCTGCATTGTAGATAAGTACTTTTATTCCATGAAACTGAAAATTCACAAGGCCATTAAGTTCTTGGCAGCTGCATTTCAAAAACTTGTTTTCATGTTTGTAGGAACATGCCAAGCCATTCTAAGGCATCATCCAGGTTGTAAAACTCCCATTTGACAGTAGTCTATAAACCAAACAGCAAACCCAATCCCATGTTGCTGCTGTCATTCAACACACTTTTAATTGTCTCCTTCTCATCTTTATTCCACATTTAGAGCCTTTGCTGCAGTCCAGAGAAGATTATTCCCAGATGGTTCTCAAATTCCCTAACTTCTGAAAGTGTTACTCCACTTAACCACAAGTTGAAGTCAAAGACTGAATTTGTTCTATTCAGGAACATTGACAATTCAAGAACAAATGGCAAAGCATTTGTAACTGCAGTGTTATTACTCTGATGAAAAAAGTCTCTTCTGTTGCTATGTATACAAAACACCTTTCAGTTAAATATGACTGTGTATCATTTCAGTTACTAATATGCAAGGAATATTGCCCAGGGTGTTCCATAATTCCTCTCCATGATACTTTGCTCATAGATAACTTCTCCTTGGCCAGAGCCAAAGTATTTTTTCCTTTCTGAATTTTAAAAGTAATAACTGTGCTTTTTTGTTCTGGAGTAGAACAGTTAAACTGAGAGTGGGACATTCTGGTACAATTAAGTGGTAATGTCCTTTTTACATTCCATATTTTAGGCAGTGGAACATCTGTTTATGAACAAGTAGACTGTTCTGTAGCAACTTTTTCAGCATTTATGTCAGATTTATCTTTACTGAGGTGTTTACATTCAGAAACAAAAAATAATTTGGTGGTCTTTAGCTTCTACTTGGAATTATCCAGTAGTTGATTTTATCCAGATTAATGAAGCTCAGCAAAGTTGCCTCAAAAACTTGAGAAAAGAAGTGACTTTACAAATAAAATCCAAATCAGCTTTAGCAAACATCATGTAATTATTAGTATATCTGCATCCTTGTATACTGGCTTTGCTTTGGATCTTTTCAGATTTACAGAGTAATGCAATACAATATTTGTGATATGAAATCTAGCTTTTGATAGCCAAAGAAGAAATCCTACAGTATTTTTGTCAAGTCTCTCAGCCAAGTTGAAAGAAATTAACCCTCATGTATACTACTTTGTCCTTGTTACTTCTTACAAGCATAGGGCCAAGGAATAGCTCTGTTAAGTCCATTTGAGCAACTTGAGGATAGGATAAGGTATTAAGCACAAGTCTTTGTTCTAGAACTTAGTACTGGATTAGTGAAACATAATACTGGGCAGACCTTAACAGCCCATCCCCAGACCCACCTGTGGATGGAGCCTCTGGAACAGCTCAGGTACAAGGGGAAGATTCAGAACCCTAGTCTATCAGACTTCTATTCCAGCTCACATCACCTGTAACTGGTTGCAGCAGTCTTGGGCTACAAGTCCACCTCAGCAATAGGCAACCTATAGAAATGTGGATCTTGGCCCTACCCCATTGTTGGACTGGTCTTTCCAGGCTGTAGGCTCAGCATTAGTGGACACAGACATGAGATAAGGAGCTTGGGGCTGATCGTTATGACTGTCTAGAACCAAGTGGAAATTCTGCAGTGTCTGAACCAGTCAGTGACCCTGGACAAGATATCTGAGCCTACTGTGAGCTGAGGGAGGGAACTGGAAAAGACTACTCTTAAGTACTTTCCTATTACGTTCCAAATAAGTGTATGTGAAAAGAACCTGGGGTTAGATAGCTCTCTAGTGCAGAAATAGTTGTAATACACAGCTGTTAGAACAGCAGACTTCTGACAAATCTGAACTTGGGTGCCATCCACTACTGAAACTGAAAATAACCATAGGCTCAAAGACAATAAGCAACCTGATTAGAATTTCTGGAAAGATAGGAACAAAGCTAGATTATGAAGACAAATTCTTAATCCTTCAATGCCCAGACAACATCATACACCAACAAGCATCAAGAGCTCTCATGAAATCATGACCTCATCTCATTCTAAGAACAAGGTTCCCATCTGATCAGGGAGTAATCAGCATGGGAAAACTCAAGAGAATTCAAAACAAGCTGAAGGAAACATGACCTTGAAGAAAAACATACTCAACAGTGGTGGCACACGTGTTGTTTTGTTTTTTAGTTTTTTAACAAAAGGTTGCTAATGTAGAGTCTTTTCTAAACTAAATATCTCTATTTCACTGTTGGCTCTTTGTAATAAGTTGGTTTTGGGTTGCAGTTTGTTACTCATGGTTCACCATCGCTGCTATAACAGAAACTTAAGATGGAAGCAATTCTAAATAATCAGAACTTCCTGAACTGACACTCAGTGAAATTAAAAACACAATAGGAAGGATCAGAGATTCAGCTCAGTGGCACTGCACCTGCCTTGCAAGTGCAAGGTCCTGAGTTCGATCTCTAGTGCCAAAACAAAACAAAAACAAAAAATACAATAGGAAGCATCAATAGCAATATAGCTTGAATGGACAAAAAAGAATGAGCTCAAGACAGGCTATTTAAACTTATACCGTTGGAAGAAGAAGAAATGAAATTTTACAGGCACTTTGGGGCAATATTGAAAGTGCAGATTTTTGGGGTTATTGGAGTTCAAGAAGGATTTACCAAAGGAATAGAAAGTTTATTTAAAAGCATCACATAATCCCAGCACTCAAAAGAGACTGAGGCAAGAAGATCGCCATGGGCCTGAGACAAGCCTGGACTACATAGCAAGTTCAAGATCAGCCTGAACTACACAGGGAAACTCTCTAAAAACAACAACAACAAAATCACAGAAAACTGTCCAAACCCAGAAAAGGAAACAGGTTCAGGAAGTTAGGTTCACCAGTCCAATGTAACTCAACCAAGTCTACCCCAAAACACAAAGATGAAAGAAAAGAGAAGAAGGACATTCCTAAACAAAAGATGACAGACTATAAATCCACCAAAACTTTTCCAGAGAAATACTAGAAGTTCTTCAAACTGAAAGAGACGCTAATGTTTAAGAAAACATAGGAAGGTATAAAGCTCCCTAGTGAAAGTAATTACACAAATGCAGAATGTTTGATCATACTATGTTGTATAAACTATCTTTAGCACAAAAACTAAAAAAATAATTAGTAAGATAAGTAATATACTCAAGTATAAAGAGCAAAATAAAAAATATTTTTTTGGAGGTAGGAAAGAGATCTGGGAGTAGAGGGAGAGTGGAGAGAGAGGAGAAGAAAGCAAAGTAAAAAGAATAAGATGTAATATATAATTCCCCATAATGAGTGTATTCATTATGTATTGCAAACATACTAATTGGAAAGAAGAGATAAGCAATATGGAAAGATGTAAGGTGAAATACCAAAAACTCAAAATGTGGGGAGGAACAGGGCCAGGGATTTGGCTCAGTGGTTCCACTGCCTGTCTCTCAAGCACAAGGGCCCGAGTTCAATCCCCAGTACCAAAATGGGAGGAATGGAATACAAATAGTTTTCTTATTAATATATTTTCTCATGGTCTTTTGTTTCTGTTTGTAACTTTATGTTAAGCTGCTATCATTTAAAAATAGTTTTGTTAAAACCAAAGGAGGTTTGTATAAGCCTCGTGGTAATCACAAAGTAAAAATTATAATATATCAAAAATAAGGAGTGTGCCAGTGATTTAGCTCAGTGGTTCTGCCACCTGCCTCACAAGCACAAGGACCTGAGTTCAATCCCCAGTACAAAAAAAAAAAAAAAAAAAAAA